ATTTATTATTTTTCTTTTTATTTTTCCTTTACTTAAATTTCAACCATAAACTATAATTGAAATTATTTTTTATATTATGTATCACGTATATTGCATGAGCGGGTGATCGTGGTCATTGGAAATAAAAGATATTGGTATTATACTATTGTGTAACTGACCAGTTGTTACTATATGATCTATGTGTAACAGTAATGAAAATTTCGAAGATATATTAAAATGTGATATAAAAAAAAAAAGTCAAAACGTTGTATAATGAATACCGAAGAACTTCAAACTCTTATTCTAAAAACGCTCGATGCAAAAGGGTCGGTTTCAAATACGCGTGAACTCACCACTTTTGATGGCAAAGAAGTGGATCAACTTGCACTTCTTGGTGCATTAATGAGCTTAAGTCTACCCGGTGAAGAGGTTAGCCTTTTACTTTACGAAATTCGTTTCTCGTATATATATATATAATGTCTTGCATGTATTTTACCCAGATGGTTCAATATGAATCTATCGAAGAAGAAATTTGGGTATTGACAGAAGAGGGGAATGAAATAGCCGATAAAGGGAGCCATGAAGCAAAAGTTTTCGAGACAATTCCTCCTGGAGAAGAAGGGATAACAATTTCTGATTTGCAAGTGATGTATCTTAATACTCTAATCCATTTTTTTTAAATGTTTGATAAAATCTTATACTTTACTTTTTTTTTTTGGTAGAAATTATTAGGGGAATCCGCAAAAATTGGTCAAGGACAAGCTTTCAAGAATAAATGGATTACCAAAAATGGTAACAGCCTTGTTCGTGCTGTAAGTAGAAAAGCCTCATGCTGAATGATATTGAATGATATTACATTTTAGTTAAATTTTTTTATTATTTAATTTTATAATCAAGGTTGAATCCGTAGTGGATCAAGTGAAAATAGATCTCAAAACTATTCGGTCTACTGGCAAACATTCGGATCCAAAAGTATTGGTTGAATTGAAAAAAAGAAAGCTTTGTGATAAACAGTTTGTATTAATATTTAAACTTAATGGATTCATTTATACGAACTATCTTAATAAAATAAACAAAATTTTTTTTTTTGATCGTCAGAAAAAAGATCTCTTATTCTGTTACGAAAGGGCCACATTTCTCATTAACTATAGAGAAGGCGGCTCGAGATATAACATATGAAATGATTCAAAGGTATCAATTATTCATAATTGTAACTTTTCAATTTATTTTATAATTTAATTATATATAACATTAATTTTAGTGGAGAATGGAAAAATGAAAAATTTAAAAAATATAATTTTGAAGCACTTGGAATATTACCTGCTGGTGGTCACTTACATCCACTAATGAAAGTTCGCGAAGAATTTAGGCAAATTTTTTTTGAGATGGGGTATTATTATTATTATTATTATTATTATTATTATTATTATTATTATTATTATTATTATTAATTCAAAATTTTTTTATTAATAATACCAATAGATTTGAGGAAATGCCGACTAATAGATTTGTCGAATCATCATTTTGGAATTTTGACACTCTTTTTCAACCCCAGCAACATCCTGCACGAGATGCCCATGATACCTTCTTTTTAAAAGGCAAATTTTTTTAATATGTAATTCTTCGATCAATTAATAATTCCAATATTAATTTATAATCTTAACAATATTTTATATAGATCCCGCAAATTGTACACAATTTCCTACAGAATATCTTGAACGTGTGAAAGAAGTTCATTCAGTTGGTGGATACGGATCTATTGGTTATGGTTATGATTGGAAAATTGAAGAAGCTCAGAAATTAATTTTAAGGACTCATACCACAGCAGTTTCATCTACCATGTTATATAGTCTCGCTCAACAAAAGGAATTTAAGCCAGTAAAGTATTTTTCTATAGATCGCGTGTTCAGAAATGAGACAGTAGATGCCACTCATTTAGCCGAGTTTCATCAAGTCGAAGGTGTAATTGCTGATAGAGGTCTAACCCTAGGGGATTTAATTGGGTTTATGGACACTTTCTTTAACAAAATGGGTTAATATTGATTAAAATTGTTCATTGTTCTGAATTTTTTTTTAATATAATTTATTTAATACAATTTTTCATTATCATTTATTTATTTTTATTATTTATTTTATAGGTGTAAAAAATCTTCGCTTCAAGCCAGCATACAATCCATATACTGAACCAAGCATGGAGATTTTCTCCTATCATCCCGGTAAGGTTTCATTAAGGTTTCGTCATTTTAAATTCTTTACATATAAGACAATAATTGAAATATTTCCTCCGAAATAAGGTCTTGGTAAGTGGGTGGAAATAGGAAATTCAGGTATGTTCCGTCCAGAGATGTTGGAACCAATGGGTCTTGATCCAGAAGTACGTGTCATTGCATGGGGATTAAGTTTAGAACGACCTACTATGATAAAATACGGAATCGATAATATCCGGGAGGTAAATTTTTTTTTTTTAATCGAATTCAAACTGTGAAAATTTTACCATTTACTTAGTTATTTATCAATATTTTTTTTTTTAGTTACTCGGACACAAAGTCAATTTATCCATGATTCAGAACAATCCAATTTGTCGTCTAGACAAGCGAATGGGAAAAGAGGCTGCTCATTAAATCAAATTATTTATATATATTTTTTTGTATATTCATTTTTTATTTATTTAATAAAGAATTTATAAAATTTATTTAAAATTTGTCAAATCGAATTCTTTCATTCCCAGTTTCTTTTCAAAGACACCTTCTTCGCTTATTATAGCAGTAATTAGTTCAGCTGGTGTTATGTCAAAACTTGGATTCCAAGCTTTAACACCTTTAGGTGGCACTCTAACTTTATCAATAATAATATTATCATTCTCATTTATGATAGCTCCATTAACTAAAACTAATTCATCTTCCGATCTCTCTTCTATAATAATATCTTTGCCACTTTCAATATTTAAATCAATGCTTGTGGATGGTGCAGCAACAATAAAAATAATACCATGATATTTTGCAGTTATAGCTAATTGATATGTACCAATTTTATTTGCCGTATCTCCATTTTTGGCAATTCTATCTGCTCCAACAATGATTGCAGAGATTTGGTTACAAGTTGTTAAATTTGTTTGAGATTGCTCGATAATATTGTTAATATGTGGTAAAGAAGAAGAAGATAGTAAAGCAGAAACCATTGAATCACAAATCAATGTACTTGGAATTTGATCATGTAATAATTCATAAGAAGTTAAACGTGACCCTTGATTATAAGGGCGTGTTTCGGTAAAGTAGACTCGAGAGAGTCGTCCTTGTTCATGTAAATATCGAATAATACCAAGAGCTGTTCCATATCCAGAAGTTGCTAATGATCTAAATAAAATATATAAAGAATTCAAGAGAGATAAACGCGTTTTTTTTTTTTTTTTTTTAAAAAAAAGAATCATATCAACTATAGTTTTATTTTTCTTACCCGGTATTGCAATGAGTAACTACACTAATCATCTCATTATCAACTTTACTGAATAAAAATTCACCGCCAAATTTTCCTATATTTTTATTATCCTTTAAATCATCTTCCAACATTTTTACAACAAAATCAACTATTTTTTCAATAATTTCTTTTGAATTTAAATTTTCTTTTAGTCCATCACAAGTAACTTCCCATAATTTTTTTGAAGAGAGAAATAAATTTACTGCAGTTGGACGTGAGGTATTTAAATAATCTAAAGATTTACGAATAAATTCACCAAGTGCCGTTGGGGAAGAAATTATATTTAAAGGTTCAAAATCTTTATGATTTTGATTATTTGAGAATTCGAGATATTTAATTTGAAGTTCTATGGCTAAAGAAAGTGCTGCTACAAGTCCTATTGCAGGAGCACCGCGAACTTTCATTTGTTTAATTTGTTCATAACCTTGTTGAACTGTTGTTACATTTTCGTATACTTTTTGATGAGGTAATAAAAGTTGATTTAAAATCTTCAACGAAGGTGGATCACGAGTATATAATATTGGAGAAAGTGTCATTTTTCACGTCAAAAAAATTTTTGAAATTTTTTAATTAATTTTTTATGTTACACGAAAGTAGTCCCTTTTTAATGAATACATTTTTCTCTTACCTCTTTTGATTCAAAGAAGTAGAAGAAATGGAAGAAACAGAAATAGATTTATTACTAAAAAAATTTGTTATAGATATTCCTCAACGGCACTTATCGTTTCATAAAAAATATGAAAAATGGATACTGCCTATAATAATAGCGAGAAAAGTTATGTCGAATTTCGAAGATGGTTTTGGATGGGCAAGCCTTCTAACTTGTGGGTGACTTTTTAACGATGAAATTCTGATTGTTGAAGGACTTACAACAAGCCTTTTTGCATGTAGCAATTCAGAAACTTGAGTCAGCACTGAAGGCCAAACTAAAAGCGAACGAAAAGTCTTTAGATATTTTTACTCCAGTGCTTGGTAACTAATGGTATTCACATTATTTAAAGTTTATTAATATATTAAATTAAAATTGGAATTAATAATTATTTATTATTTTATATTTTTTGTTTTTTTTAGCACGTTTTCTAATTGATCTGGATGAATTTATAAACAAAATACCTCGAGATAAAAAATATAAGAAAAATTTAAATTCTAAGGAAGCCAAAGCTTGTACTATCGTTCAACAAAAGTCTTTACAATTTTTTGAATCATGGAGTGAAGTTATAAAAGATTATTATAATGTAATTAAATATAATTAAATATAATTAAATATAATTAAATATAATTAAATATTCAAAATAATAATAAATTAACATTCAAATTATTCAAAATGTAATATTAAATATATTTAATATTTTTATTGTTAGAATCCTCTACCCAAATCAATTTCATCTAAAGATAAAGTGATAATTGATGCTTTGGAAAAATTTCTAATGATTCCGCCTCATACTCATTTATCATTAACATGTTTAAATCTTGAAGAGTATCCACAATCTATGAAAGAAATTAATAAAATATTTGATTATTATTATTCATTTTCAACAATTACAAACACAACAAAACTTGGGATCGATTTTTTAACAATTTTGGATTTATCGATGAATCGATTAAAAGGTAAAACATTATTATTATATATTGTATATTATTTTCATACGTTATTTATGTTATTTATTATATATTTAAATATATTTTTCTTTAGGTCTTCCTTATGAAATTTTATTTTTCAGAAAATTGAAAATACTCAATATTTCACATAATTTATTACAATATTTTCCACCTTATATCACAATGTTGGCACCAAATTTGGAAATATTGGGAATTGAAAGTAATCCTCTTCGAAGTTCCAACATTTTAAAAATACAAAAATTATTGTCAATTACGAACATTAATGATACACAGAGTGATGTAATACCACGATTAATGGATATTTGTGCACAAAAGATTATTCTTAATAAAATTCCTATTACTTGTCAAAAAAAGAAATTCGAAAAAACATTATTAGAAAAAGATGAAAAAGATGAAAAAGTTGAGAAAGATGATGATAATAATGAACAACCATTACTTCCGAATGTTTTGATGAATTACATTAAACAAGGATTTTTATGTGAATTTTGTAGAAAATTTATTTCTTCAACATCATCATTATTTTTGCCTGTTATAATAGAGAATTTAAAATATTCGGATTATTTAAAATTTCCATTATTGAGAAGATTTTGTAAAAAATGTTGGTACGTTCATAATAATAAAAATCAAATATGTACATGTATTACATGTAAAGTGAAAAGAAGAAATGATCACCATAATTCTAAAAAAAATTCAAATTTTGCTTAATCATTTATTAATTTTCGAAATTTAATATTGTCTTTAATATAATAATTTTAATAGTTTTTTTTTTTTTAAATCTTTAAATAAATTCATAAATTTCTAATTCTTATAAAACTTACAAATTAAGATTTAACTTGATTAATACAAATACATTTAGATAATGTCATAATATTTATCAAGAATATCAAGAATATTATGAATATTTAATATTTTTTACTTGCAACGTGAGAAATGGTACCTAAAGTACCAAATACTTCCTTAGTACCTTCAAGGAAAGTAGTTTTATGATACGGAATTTTATATTTTTCACATAAAGATTGAATAATTGGTTGGATTTTATGAAAATTATGGCGTGGCATATTAGGAAATATCTATTATTTCGTTATTTGATTATTTAATTTAAAAAATAAATAAAAAAATAAATAAAAAAATAAATAAAAAAATAAATAAAAAAATAAATAAAAAAATAAATAAAAAAATAAAATAAAACAATGAGAATGAATACTTGCATGATGTTCAATTTGATAATCTAGACCACCACAAAACCAATCAACAATCCATTGATTTGCAGGATTGGAAGCGATAACATCTCTTCCTGTGATCACTTGTTCAACAAAGAAATCCGTTTTCGAAGATTCTTCTTCAGTTAAAATTTTCATACCAAAATGATTTAAGGCAAAGACCAAAGCCAATAATAAACCACATATCGCCTGAGTAGCAATAATGAAAGTGAACCTTAAAAACCAATTATCAATTAAAAAGAATATTATTGAACCAAACCAAATATAATGTAAGACGAGAGAAATCCTTTGAATTTTTGATATTGGCATATGAGAAGGTTGATTAGCTTGACTATTTGGGAGAATGAATAAAATGCTTTGAATACACCAAGAGATCCTCGCGGCACTTAAAATTGGAAAATAACTTAAGGTTTGATAATTCACCATAAGATGAATTAACCATTGAGGAAGAATTTTTGAATTTTCTTTAGCAAATTCTGGATCAAAAAGATCGGTCAAAGCATGTTCTGACCAACTTAAAATAGGATGAGTATTAATGTCAGGATCTTGACCATGAACATTTGGAGCAGCGTGATGAGTATTATGTTTATCTTTCCACCTATAAAAATGTTGATAGATTAAATATTTATTAAAATATATTAATGAATTATTCAATAACATCACTATTATAATTATTATAATTTAGCAATAATAAATGAATAAATAAATAAATAAATAAATAAAATATTTAAATATTTACCAGCCAGGATCAAAACCTTGACAAACAGAACCAACGAAACATCCCAATAAATTATTATAATTTCTATTATCAAAAAGTTGATGATGTAAAATATCATGTGCCAACCATCCACATTGTTGCCAGAATAATGCCATTAAAGCAGCGGATATTAATACTCCCAAAATTGAATTTCCAAGTATATATAACACCCCCACCGACAATGCACAGATACCAAGATTACTGGATAATTTTAAAAAATAATATAATTTTGATGATTCGAAATAATTGAGTTTCTTAAAAAGTTCTCTAATTTCACGAATTTCTTTTGTAAATCCTTCTTTTGTGGAATTGATATCTTCCAATGCTATATCTCCGACATAAAAATTACCCAACAAATCATGAGTACTACTTGGATGGAAATTATTAAATGCATCTATTAATTAAAAATAAAAAAAAAAAAATTATAATTAAATATTTTAAATAATGATACAAATACAATATAAATACATATATATTACATATCAATTTTAATTTTATATATTTTCTATACAATATTTATTTTAATGAATTAATTATTTATTTCCGCACACAATAACATATACACAAAATAATATAAATACGTCACTCGTGAATCAGTCACGTGATAATCACCTGTAGCATCCAATCCGAGACGGGTCAAAATTGCAGAACCTCCTGGATGGTCAGGCAGAAAATCTTTAACATCATAAACTTTATTATCGATGATCAGATAACATGGTTGATCTCCTTGATATTTTGCGTTTCGAGATCTTAAAATTTCCTCTCTCCAGAACGTTTTAGGCCCTATACGTAAATAAAAAATTATTATTAAATTTTATTTGTTTCTTAAAATATATTTTTTTTACGTAGTAATAAATTTCCAAAAAAGGGATAAACATTAATAACGGAGTTCGGTGAAATAACGTTAGGAGGAATGGATAGAACAAACCTTCAATTTCGTTCCCTACAACTTGAGGAGGCATAATTGTAGCGCTTAAGAAAGAAACAAAATAATTTTTATAATTTGTTGGGGAAAGTAAAGAAAAAAAAAAATATATATATATAATAAAAAAACTGTGATCTACGATAAACAATTTTTTTGGGGGGAATTTCGGTGGGGCAAATCTTAACATGTGAATAATAAAAACAAGTGTTGTAAATAATAGTAACGGTCTGTACTTACCCCATTTCATCTTGTATACCCATGTGTCAAAATTGTAGATCTTAATGTGAAATTCATTTCATCAAACAATTTCATTTTAAATGCTATTGCAACAAACATTGAAACAAACATTGCAACAACAAACATTAGAACAAAAATCATAACCAAAATCACAAATTATCACTTATCGATCTTATTTCACTTTATCACCTCATTTTTTTTTTATGGAGGATCACGAAAACGCAAGAAACGCATCAAATGAATCAAATCCAAAGCAAACTAATAATTCTTTATCAATGTCAAAGCAACAAACTTCAATCGAACAATTTTTTGATTCAAAAGAAAAGGCAACTGAATCATCAAAAGAAAGTTACAGGTTTTATAAACTTGAAATGCCTCAAGCCGAAGTATTATATTATCCATCAATATTATCATCCGAAGAATGTTCCAAGAGTTATACGGAATTAATTAATCTTCCTTACTGGATTCGTCCAACCTTTAAAATATATGGTCGACCCGTTCTTGCACATCGTCTTACCTGTTCTTTTGGTTCTAATCCTAATAAAGCTTATCATTATTCCGGTACATTGGCTAGTGCCGATGCTTTAGAATATCCTCCTTCTATTAAGTTAATAAAAGAAAAATTGGAATTTATTTTAAATACCGATTTTAATTTCGTATTATTGAATTGGTATAAAAATGGAAGTGATTACATTGGAGAACATTCGGATGATGAAAGGGGACTCGCACCAAATGGAATGATTGCCAGCGTAAGTTTAGGTGCATCAAGAAAATTTGTTTTCAGGAATAAATTAAATAAAAAAAATGTTCAGAAATTAATTTCACAAAATGGATCATTAATGATTATGAAAGGAACAACTCAAAAATATTGGAAACATTATATTCCAAAAGAGAAGAAAATTACGGAAGGTCGAATTAGTTTAACATTTAGACAACTTATTTAAAAAACAATTAAAACAATTTTATTATTATTATTTTTTCTCTAAGATTAAAAATAAAATTTCTCTATATTAAATAAATGAATAAATAAATAAATAAATAAACAAACAAACAAACAAACAAACAAATTATATTATTTTAATGTTATTCTTGAAATGAATTAAATCAATTAATTTATTCTTTAATTTATTCTTTAATTTATTCTTTAAATTTATTCTTTAATTTATTCTTTTATTTATTCTTTTATTTAGTTTTTAATTTATTCTTTTATTTAGTCTTTATTATTCTTAATTTTCCTGGTGAATATTTATAATTATCAGCATACACCTTTTTACGAAATTGTGGTTCGTAATGTTCTTGGACATAATGATCCCAACCTTGTTTTTCAGCAAAATGAATAGCATCTTCTTTTGTATTAAATTTCATTTGTAATGCTTGCATATAATCAGCACTAGATAATTTGATATAATATATTTTTATTTATTTTATATTTCATTTAAACACATTAAAAAATAAAATAAAAAATAAAATAAAAAATAAAATAAAAAATAAAAATAAAAAATAAAAATAAAAATTAATTAAAAATTAATTAATTAACTTACCTACTAAACCAACCCATTAATGGATTTTCCCATTTATCACCTTTTTCCAATACATCAAAATCAATTCTCCAATGTTTGGTATTATGTGTTCCTGATTGCATAGCGGTCTTAGAAGGTTTATAGATTCTTACAGTACGATATCGAAGCTCCTCTTAATATTTTATAATTATCGTTCATTTATGTGAATCAATCCAATTAATAATAAAATTAATAATAATATGCAACTTTTAAATAACAAAAAAAAAAAAAACATGTTACCTGGAGCACCAGATATAACCTCTGCCGGTATGGTTGGTTCAGTTCCAGGTGCTGCTGCATGTGAAACATCTTGAGTAGTGCTTTTAGAAGAAGGTTCTTTAAGATCTTTAACAAGAGAAGAATTGAATCTTTGTTGAAATCTAAATGAAGAACTTATTGATAAACGAGAAAGTGAACGGGTTTGTGAAAAGGTTTGTTTCGCTAGAAGTCCAGACATCGTTAATTATACAATATCTAAAAATAAATTTCACAATGCAGTATTTGTAATTTTTTAAAATGATCTACAATTTTTAATTTTTAATTTTTTTATTAAGAAAAAGTAGTGCCACGTAAACAATTTCCTTTTCAAAAAAAAAAAATATATTATTTGTTTTTAATAATATCTCATACTCATAAATCAAACTTTTATCTCATGAATGAAGGTTGATTAAATAATTTTATTTATATATTTAATCCCCTACAGCATATAGAAATATCAATCAAATAGCTTCCTTTTTTGAATTATAGAAATATCAATCAATCAATCTTTGTAAAAACAATAAAATAACCAAAAAGAAATTTTAAGTTGATTATGATATGCATTTAATATTTATACTATACTGTACATATATAAAAACAATGCAAACATGTTTTTGATGAAAAAAAATGTTGTTTTCTATATCAATAATTCCATTCTCAACACTTTCAACACAGAAAGCATATCTAACTATTTCATTGTTTTTTGGTCAATATAACAAAATTGTACTTAAATTTTTATATAAATTTTTTTTGATGATATTTTATATATATATAAAGTTTTTATGGCAATGATAAGAAGAATGTGTTTTAATAAAAAGTAATAAAATTAATATTTAAAGGTTTTATGTGTTTTACAGAAGGGTAAAGAAATAAAGAACAAGAAAAATGCTTTTTTAATATAAAGTTTTATGAATTTGTAAAAGATAAAAGATAAAACAAAAAAATAAATAAAAAAGAATAATCGACCCGCCAACGTTGACGTAAGGGACAAAAAGGATAAAGGAACAAACGAAACATTATTTTTCATAAAGTAAACTTTTGTACTTAAAGTAGTAAACGTTGAAAAACTAAGTAAATGTTGTTGGAAAAAAAAAACGAAATACACGAAATTAACACGATAATTGTTTTAATGTACAATTTCTTTATTTCTTTATTTATTTGGTTGATAGTAATCTAACAAAATGATAAGATACAATGTAGTAGTAAAGGTGGGGAAAAAGTAAAAAAGGAACATAAAGTCGTTTTGTTATTATTTTATTATGACAGTTTTTTTTTTGTCGCGCCCACGACATGTCGCAACAGGTGACAAATATGGTTTTCACATGCCCTATAATATTGCACGTGTTGACCCAAATATATATATATTTTTTTGTCGTCTCGAGAAATATTTTTTAATAACCCCCCCCCCCCAACGAGATGTTAATACATTTATTTTAATTATTTTGTTCAAGAATCAGTCGAATTATTATTCTTCTTTGCTAATCTTTCTGCCTTTAATCTCTTTAATTCTTCCAAGATATCTTTTTGATTATTAGGTATATTCTATATTAAATTATACAGAAACAATGTTAACACGCATATATAATAATTATTTATAACAATGAAATTTTAGCTAATTAATTTATTAATTTACCGGGGTGTTTTCTGGCCATTTTCTAACCTAGAAGAAAAAAGAAAAATTGAATTAAAATATATTAAATTTTTATTAATTAAATTTTAAATAATAAAATTATTATTTAATTAAAAAATATTATTTATTATTATTTGAATTTATATTTAATTGAATACCATTTTAACATGTTTTTCATAAAATTCAGGTGCACCAAAGTAATACATTGTTGCTACAGGAAAGAAAATATAAACAGCAAACTAAAATGTATTCAAATATAAAAGATATTATAAAGGTAAAATAAGTATGGCAAAATTTCATAAAATGACAAGTAAAAATATAATTTAATAATGAAATAAAACAAACACCTTAAATAATTCTAAATTAGGTCCAGCCATTATTAAAGTTTTCGTGGGTAAAAGAGAGATCGAAAAAATAGTTAATGATTTTCTGATTTTATTTCCCGACTAAAATATAATTCTGCCGGTTATTTCTTGGAATTAATTTAAATATCAAATATCTCAAAGAGGACAACCAACACAATATGGCGACGTGCCCGAGTGGTCCAAGGGGCCAGGTTTAGGCCCTGGTATGGAAACATGCGTGGGTTCAAACCCCACCGTCGTCAATATAGCGTGTTTTAATTTTTCGATATTGGGTGTGAAAATCATATGATAAAATAACTTAATGCGATAAGGAGTTCTTGTATCTTTTAATTCTTTAAATTTCGTATTAATTACTTATAATATGGCAACGCCTTCTGACTTGGCTGTAGATGCAAGGTGTGAAATTTCAGGGAAGGCGGGAACTATTCGTTTTGTTGGTATTACCAGTTTCGCTCCAGGTAAATGGGTCGGTGTCGAATTGGATGACCCCCTAGGGAAAAATAATGGATACGTAGATGGAAAACACTATTTTGATTGTAAACAAAAACACGGGGTTTTTGCTAGAGCCTCGCAAGTAAAACCTTTAAATACCACTAAACCTCTAGAAGACCAGGTAAAGCACGTTTCTTAATGTGCACTGTACAAAAAAAAAAAAATGGAATTACAAAAGTGTCAATAAGTATCATTAAAAAAAAAAAAAAGTAAGTGTATTAACAATATACTTCCTTTTTATATCTTTTTTTTTTTAGAATTCTAAAGGGTTTGCACCTCCCAATGAAAATACTAATATTGGTGCAGCTCGAAATGGTCTTCGTTCCCCGGCTTCAGGAAGCATACCTACACTTAATAGAACAACTAGTATACCAAGTCCTCTTCGATTAAATAAAGGACCACAACAGAATGGTCAAGGAATATTAAATTCACCATCGACTGATAAATTTAATCGTGGACCAACCAGTCCAACATTTTCGAGGAGACCACGTGGTAGTTCAGATGCCAGTAATGTTGACATGAAAAAATTTGATCCTAGTGAAGCATTTAATGATTTAGGTGAAGTAGATGAAATTGAAGAACGAAATATTTTTGCTGAAACACCTGGCGAAACTCCTACAAATGAAATTAGAAAAACAAATGAATCGTCAAAAATTGATGAAGTAGTTAATTCAGTGGATCCTTTCTCTTTACAAGAAACACCTGTAATTCGTGAACAAGTATGCATTTTTTATGAAAATTTTGTATCAAGTATATGATAATAATAATAATAATTAAAGAAAAAATTATTATTATTATTATTATTATTATTATTATTATTTATCAGAGTGTTCCCTTAAAAGACTATGAAGAATTGAGATTAAAATTAAAGATATTGGAAAATAAACGTACAGAAGATCGAGAAAAAATTCGGGAACTTGAAAAATATAAGTCTGAAGCTGAACAATTTATGATAATAAAACCAAAACTTCAAAGTACAGTAAATTAAATTTATCATATATTTTATTTATTTGACAAAGACATTTAATTTTTTTTTTTCTTTTATTCTTATTTTATTAAATCATAAAAGGCAAAATGTTAGAAATGCAACAAGAAATACGCGACCTTAGAAAGCAATTGAAAGATGCCGTTTCTGAAAAAGAGATTTTCGAAAATAAATACAATGAAACAGTAGAATCTATGGAATTTATAGCACTTGATAAAGAAATGGCCGAAGAAAAAGCTGAAAACTTACAGCATGAGGTGGATTTACTCAAAGAAAAAGTAGAAGAGATTAGCGTAGATTTGAATGTGTTTAAAAACGAAGGAGGTACGAATTTTTATGTCAACTATTTTATTTCACTGAATTTTTTTTAGGTCAAATATTTTAGATATTAAGATAATTTACTTATTTTTTTTTTATATCAAATCTGTTATTAGATATGGTCAATCAATCAAGTTGTAATGGAGATTCATCAAGGCCATCTGTTGAAATTATTCAACTTGAAAAACATAATGATCGATTAAAAGAAGCTCTTGTTAGGTAATTTAAGTTTTTAATAAATTTATTTTGTTGAGAATTTTAAATTTATAACAAATTCATTTATTTATTCATTCATTCATTCATTCATTTATTTCATTAGGCTTCGTGATGTTTCGAGTGAAAATGAGGTTGATCTTAATAAGAAAATCAAGAATTTGGAAAAGGAATTGGTTTCTCTTCAAGATATTCAAGGTTTTTTATCATTTAAATTTTATCACTTCTTATCAACAAATTTTTCTATTTCCTTTAGTATTAAAAATATTTAATCATTTCTTCTTCTAGTTCAATATGATCAAACAAGAAATCAATTAAAACAGGCTGAATTACATATTGAGGATTTAAAAGCCCAGCTGGATGATGCAATGAATTCTACAGAAATGCTTGAAGAACTTACCGAGAAAAATTTGTTATCCGGAGAAGTATGTATTTAAATTTATTTAAATTTATTACCTACTCTTTAAAAAAAAAAAAAGTTCGATATCCAATATTTTTTATTATTATTTGATTTTCAGAAAATTGAAGAACAAAGAATGCTCATCGAAGATCTCGAAGCACTTAAAGAATTAAATGACGAACTTGAAGAAAGTCATATTGAAAACGAAAAGCAACTTCAAGCTGAGATTGGTAAATCTTATTTGTATTATTTAGGATTATTTGTAGAATTAATTAACAAATCTTTCTTTCATTCTTTTTTCTAGATCACAAAGATATCCTCATTAGAGAGTATAAGAAACGCATCGAATCTGCGGAATTAACTAACGCAGATTATGAAAATACTATTAACCAATTCCGGGAATTAGTAGCTACTCTACAAAGGTTAGATATTATTAATGTGATCGATGACATAGAAAATGATTATATTTTAATTATATTTTAATTATATTTAATTATATTTAATTGAAATTAGTGATTTGGAACAATTCCGTCAAAAAGAAACTCAATCTTCCGAATCAAAAAATCTTAGCAGTCAATCACAGGAAATGCTTAGTCTGAATATTCAATTACAATCAACAGTACTTAAAGCACAAGCTAAACAAATCGATTTGGAACTTCGAAGACTTGATGCTACCCAAGCATCTGAACATTTGGATATTGTCCAGGTATTTTAATTAAATCATGCTGATATTTTAAAAACATCATGAAAAAAAAAATAAATGAAATAAAATAAATTAAAATAATTTCGAATAAAAATTTTTTTTTACCCCATAAAAATTAGCCCTATTTACCCGAAACATATTTCGAAACCGAGAATGATTCCATTCGTTGTTTGCTTTTGTTGAAACGTCTTGTATTCAAGTCAGAGTTAATAATCAAACAAGTAGAGCAAATTCATAACATTCCAGAAAAATTAAATACGACTGTTCCTGAGAAATTGATTTCTGTTTGTGAAGTATGTTTTACTATTTATTTATTTTTTTTTAATAGTTATTTTCGTTTTTCGTATCGTATTACTTTTAATTTTATTAACTATATTATATTTATATAGTTGCGACAAAAATTAGGATGGTTTTCAGATTTGTCAAGGCGATTTGTTTCATTTATATCTGGTTGTCCCGTTGAAACATTCCTTAAAATGGGTCAAGTTTATCACGATTTGGTGGGAACTGAACGTCGGTCAGTATTTATACATGAATAAAAAAAAATTTGACAATTCTTTTTTCAACTTTTATTCATGATAAATAAATTCCATTAGAATTCATGTTATTGTGGATTTACTGAGAAAAGAAGAACTCAAAGAGTCCGAACGCATTGTTGACGTACAAAGGTTGGTTGTTTTTATCTTTTTAGAATTTCATCAATTTACGTATTATATTCTTTATTAATTTGACTTGAAATTTGTAAAGATCTATTGCTCAGCTTGAACATTTAGCAGAAATTTACCTTTCGAATTCTAAAGTTGATGAAGCAGATAGATTTTATGCTTTTAGCAGAAGCTTAGATTTTAATGCCGATACTATAGCGGTTACTCTTGGGCATGCAAAACAAGCTGTTGCTTTAGCATGTAAAGATGAAGGTAATAATTATAATATTATTTTAATATTACTACTATAATATTACTATTATAATATTACTATAATATTATTTTATATTTCACAAACTTATACGATATTTACTATTTTAGAAATTAACGTTGCTGATGACGCCGAACGTTTCAATGCTGAATTCTTCCAACCTTTACAAGGTTTAGTATCAACAGCTCGAAGTAGTAAAGTTATTGCTAGGTATGTGTGTTACATTACAACAATATTGTAAAAATTAACATGTAATTAATGATAATATTTTTTTTTGTTTCAGGAAATTACTCCGTCGTCTTGATGAATTGGGTGGAAAATCATTAATAATGAAATCAGAACTTTTGCCTCAATTCAAGATGTGCAACTCATTAAGCACAAAGTTGGTAGTCTACTGTAACGAAGTGAGTCTTTATTTCTTAATTTTTTATCCAAATTTATAATTTTATATTCTTAAATGGATCGCTTATTATTATTATTATTATTTTAGGTTTGGAAAGGAATTGCTACTTATATAAATGAAAAGAAAGATTCCAAAGATAAATTAGAATTGAGTGGACTTCGACAAATCATTTATAGAATCACCGATAAACATTTAAATATTAGTGAAACAAATATGTGGGAAGGATGTGCAAAATCATCTCAAGAATTTTGCCTGGAAATTACAAGTTTGGTTAACCTTACCAATGATCCAGATCAATCAATTACAAGTGAGTGGTATTCCAAAATTACTTTTTTGTCATTTTAAAATTCTTGAAAATCTTTTCCCTCTTTTTTTTCTTATTTTTCCTCTTTTGTTTCTCTTCTTTTGTTTCTAACCTTTTGTTTCTCATCTTTTGTTTGCAGGCGAAAAAGAAGAAGCACCATGGGTTTCAAGAGCCACGGCATTGAAAAAAGAAGTTCAAGCGAATGCTGAAACAGAACGTAAATTACAACAAGCAAACAAAGAAATATGTGAATTGATAAAGGAAAATAAGATAAAGGTAACGGGATCATAGGATGAATTGTATTTTTATTTATGAATTTATTTATTAAATCTCTAAGTTTTTCTGGTATTAGGAACAATCATTACAAGAAGGAAACGTTAAAATTGAATTTTTAGAGAAACGTATGGAGGTTGTTAAGAAACAGGTATTTACAACAACTCCAATTTGTTATGACTTTTATTATAGATTGTTATTAATATATTATTACAACGATCCAATTTGTTATGGTTTTTATTATAGATTGTTATTAATGCATTATTACTTATTGTATATTATTATTGTTACTGTTGTTGTTGTTGTTGTTGTTGTTGTAGGCTGATACGATCAATTCACTTGAACAAGAACTTGCTAATTCAAAGAAACATGAAACCGACTTTGTAGAAGTTATGGAAAGTCTTCAGCAAGAAATCGAGAGTTTGGAACAACAAAATAAACAATTTGCTAATAATTTGGAACTTAAACTCGATGGAGAAGGTTATATTCTCATTCAATATTCCATTTTATATGTTTAAATCATGTTTAACGATAATGTTAATATTTTTTTCCTCATTTATCATTTTCCATATCTTTCACATATATATAGGATTGTCTTCCGAAAATCAAGGACGTTCCCGAAATGATGAGGACGAACTTGAAAAAGATGGAGTGGGATCAATGTCCGATAGTAATTCATTGGAGATTCAACGTTATACTAGTCAGGTAATATTTACTTTTCGTGAAATTTAAATTTTTTCCATTTTTTTTTTCACTTTTTTTCCCTGATACATTACTTTTTTTTTAGATCGAATCGTTGAAGTTTGCCGTTCGTTATCTAAGAGCCGAGAATTCTCATTTGAAAGGTAAGGATGCTATGAGTGTATTAAATTGGCATCTACAACCTTATAGAAATCGCACTGCAAAAAATCAAAGTGATGGGGAATTGTTAAAGACAGTGACCCAAGAGGCTAAATCATTGCTTAAGGTATTATTATTATTATTATTATTTATATTCGTGATTTTTTTTTTCAATTCATTAATTGAATATTAAATAATGATGATTATCATTTCTTAGGAATTCCGTATTGTGAGTGCATCGCCCAGAATAATTGATCTTTCAAAATCACCGGAGAATCGTAAACAATGGCAACCATTAAAGAGCACTCCAGGGTATCAATATCAAGTACAACAATCAGTAATGTATACATTACAACAACGAAGTATTGAATTACAATCAAAACTTAAACAAATCGGAAGTCCAACCAAACCCAAGAATTTGAATTTAAAGGTTTGTTATGATCAAATTTCGAAATACATTTATTATTATTATTTTTATTAAAGTTTTATATTTATTATAATTCATTCTAGAATACTGGAGTTGAACAAAAAAGTTCACTTGTTGGACGAATTAGACTTCCTCTTTTGGACCATTCTGATCATGAACATTCACATTCTCATAACGTTCGACTGAAAAATTCATCCGATTTTGAAAAGATTCATACTATTTTCGTGAATTGAAAAAACTAACATTAATCTACTCTTTTATCTCTTCAAAATGATTACAATAAATTTCAACAATATGGAATAATATGGAATGAAAATAATGCAAACATCTTTCCCTTTTGTTTATTGCTGATAACAATATTCGAAATTTCATCTTCCCCCTTTTTTTTTTTTATTCTAATTCTTCCTCTTACTTCCTTACTCCATTCTAACAATATGGAATGGAATGTTTTGTTTGTTGCTGATAATAATATTCGAAAATATCATCCTCCCTTTTTTTTTCCTTTCTCCTTAAACTTCTTATTCTAATTCTTCCTCTTTATTTCATTATTAAATCAATAATCATGTCTACTATTTAAATAAGCAATTTCCCTGGATGTTATTATACAAACAAATGCAATTCATTCCCAACAGCTGTTTTTGTTTAGTCAATATTTATTTAAATTATTATTATTAAAATTTTGGTTCAATAAAATTATCTTCAATTGTCATTCAAGGATTTAAATATTTTGATTTGATTTGAAATTTGAAATAAATTTATCATTTGTATTAATTGCTTATTTATTTAGAATAGAAAAATTAGAATAGAATTATTTATTTATTTTATTATTTTTTTTTTTATTATATTTATTTATTTTCAAAATTGTTACAATTTATTTAACTTCCAAAATGTCAACTCATTATCTGACATTATCATGTATTAAATAAATATTGACAATTTTATTTTGATCATGACTTTTTTTTTCATTAATAAAAAAATATTCTTTATAAGAATTATATATATTATATAATGATAATCATAACAATAAGATCAACCAATATATGATTATCGATTACACGAGCAATTGAATTTTGATTTTTTTTTTATATATTGATTGTTTGAAATGTCGAATGAGGCTTGTTATACCATTATCCACCAAGATGACAATTTGGACCAACCCTCTTTGCAAGAACTTAAAACTGCCTTGGAGAAAGGTTCAGAGGAGGCCAAAGTTGAGACAATGAAAAAATTATTAGTGACAATGTTAAATGGCGATCCTCTACCTCAAATTTTGATGCACGTCATTCGCTTTGTGATGCCCTCCAAAAACAAAGCATTAAAAAAATTACTACATTTTTACTGGGAAATTTGCCCTAAAACGAATCCTGATGGAAAATTAAAGCAAGAAATGATATTAGTATGGTAAATTTTTTTTAAAATAATTATTTGATGTACTTTTTTATAAATGTATTTTGATTTTTTTTTTAATAATAATAATAAAATTTTTAATAATTAATAATTAATCAATAATCATGTTATCATATATTTTCGCAAATATTGTGAGAGAGTTAGTAAAAGAAGATATATAATTTATTAAAGATAAAAAATAAATTGCATTTAATAGTAACGCGTTGAGAAATGATCTACAACATCCTAACGAATATATAAGAGGTGCAACTCTCCGATTCCTTTGCAAATTACGCGAACCAGAATTACTTGAACCATTGTTACCCTCATGTCGTTCTTGTTTGGTACGAAATTTAAAAAGTATAATTTTTACATATTGATAGGATGGATGGGATGGATGGGATCGAAAGATATGAATTAATTAATTTATTTTTTATTTATGAATTAATTTATTTACGAATTATTATTAATTTATTAGGAACATCGACATTCTTACGTAAGGAAGAATGCCGTATTTGCTATATATACCATATATAAAAATTTCGAATATCTTATTCCCGATGCTCCCGAATTGATTCAAAATTTTCTCGCTGCTGTAATATATATATATTTTTTATATTAAATATAATGTTAATGCGGATATTTCAAAAAATTTAAAATTAAAGGTTAATAATTTCTTTGTAATTTTAAAAGGAAGCCGATCAAACTTGCAAACGAAATGCTTTCGTTATGCTTTGCAATACCAGCCAGTCACGTGCGGTGGAATATCTTAACGATGTTTTCGATCAAGTTCCCAATTTTGATGAACTTTTACAATTATCAATAATCGAATTAATTAGAAAGGATTGCAGAAATAACAGTACAAACAAGGTACATATATATAATTTTTTTTTTCGAGGGGTACAAGTTTTATATGACTATATTCCATAAATTGATTTTTTTTTCTTCTTAACATTTATGTGAACGAATGATTTTATTTAGGGAAAATATATTAGGTGTATTTTTGATTTATTGAATGCAGCATCATCTTCAGTCAAATATGAAGCAGCAACTTCATTAATGGCTCTTACTCATGCAGTTCCAGCTGTCAAAGGTATAAATTTATTTGGATTATTGTTCATTTTATTTAACCAGTTATATAAGAATAAATATGAATATTTAAATTTACTTAATTAATTATTTTTTTTTAGCTGCTGCATCTTGTTATATCGATTTAATTATCAAAGAATCCGATAACAATATAAAATTAATAGTTTTGGATCGTTTGGATGAGTTACGTGAAAAACATGAGTCAACTTTGGATGAATTAGTGCTTGACATATTACGCGTTTTAAATAGGCAAGTTATTATGTAGACATGTCTAATATATGTCAAAATTTAACAAAATATATATTATTCATACTTAATAACGATTTTAAACTAACAACAAATTTAAATAGTCCGGACATTGAAGTCAGACGTAAAGCATTACGGATTGCATTGGAATTAGTTTCAAGTCGAAATGTTCAAGAAGTAGTGGTTTTTTTGAAAAAAGAACTAAGTAAGACGCTCGATCAGGATTATGAAAAGGTATAATATTTTATATGATTTATTATTATTATTATTATTATTATTATTACTATTATTATTATTATATTATTATTATTATTATTATATTTTTACTATTATTTAAGTAATTAATATATATATATTTTGATAGAATAATGAATATAGGCAACTGTTAATTCAATCAATTCACAGTTGTGCTATCAAATTTTCTGAGGTCGCTGCAAACGTTGTCCACGTGTTGATGGAATTTCTAGGTGACTCTAATAATCCTGCTGCTGTTGATGTAATTGCATTTGTTCGGTATGTCAAAAATATATATATATATATATATAATTATTAAAGAAAAAAAATTAGTAAGAAAAATTTATATATGTTATTATCAGAGAAGTAGTTGAGAAATTCCCAAATTTGCGATCATCCATAACCGAAAAATTGCTTGAAACATTTATGGATGTTAAATCCGGAAAAGTTTTTCGAGGAGCATTATGGATTGTTGGGGAATATTGTGCTGAACGTAAAGGTAAATATTCATTCTATTTATTTGATTAATTATTTATACTTTTAAACACTAAGTATTATTTTGTTAACATTATTTTAATGAATTTTTAAAGATATTGAAGAGGCCTGGGAAAAAATAAGAGCAGGTCTTGGTGAAATTCCTATTTTAGCATCAGAACAGGTGAGAATTTGATGAGTCTAAAGTTTTTTTTTTTAATAAACATCAATTTATATATTTATGAACCGTGTAAACTTTAAAAACATTTTATCCAGCGTCTTCTCGAAGAAACCGAAAAGGGTGATAATAATAATAGTAATAATAATAATAATAATAATAATAATAATAAACCAGTGGAGACAGTATTGAATGTTAAAAATTCAGTTTCATCATCATCGAGACGTATTCTAGCCGATGGTACTTACGCTACAGAATCTATATATTCATCGAATTCATCTAATCTTGCCAAATCTGATGCAGCGAAAGCAATGGCTAAACTCCCAATTAGAGGTAGTATTATTATAAATTTAACTCGAATAATTATTATTACTTATCATTATCTTATTTTAATCTATTAGCTTTATTATTGAGTGGTGATTTCTTTCTTGGAACTGTTCTTGCTTCAACGATAACAAAGTTGGTTATGCGTTATGCGGAAGTATCTAATGATCCGAAAAAAACAAATTCTCTTAAAGCCGAAGTAAGAATTTTATTCTTTCATATAGAAATTAAATTAATTAATTATTAATTAATTATTAATTATTATTAAATATTATTAATTATTTGTGTTATCATTTTGGAATTATTTAGGCAATGCTTATAATGTCTAGCGTTATTCGTGTTGGACAATCGCAATTCGTGACGACACCTATAGATGAAGATTCCTATGATCGAATCATGTCATGTCTACATGTTTTAGAACGACTTTCATTAGACAATTCTATAAAAAAAGTTTTTTTGCAAGATACCAAGGCAGCATATTCACGAATTGTTGAGAACGAAGAGGTATAATATATATATATATATATATATATTAAATTCGGAAAGGAATATATGACTCGATTTTATATTGGCTTTAATATTTTTTATTTTACGATTTGATTATATGATTAGAAACGTACCGCAGCCAAGAAAGCTAAGGACAAATCATCTGTATCAGTACAAATCGATGATCTTATATCTTTTAGACAATTTTCAAAACGTAATGTTGGGGACGAAGCTGACGAGGTACTTTTTTACGTAGTTCATATAGTTTATCATTTCTTTCACTATCATTTGTTTTTTACGCGTCATAATTTTTAATTTTATTTTTTATTTTATTATTGAATTGTTATAGTATGAATTGGATCTGACTCGTGCTACTGGACAAAGCGATCCTCGGGATGATTTAATCTCGAAACTTAGTCGAGTAGTACAATTAACCGGTAACTAAGATAACTAATGTTTGAACTCATCTAATTTTCATTTATTATATTTCAGAAATAATTAAAATTTGATTAATAGGATTTTCGGATCCCGTTTATGCGGAGGCATATGTTAATGTTCATCAATATGATATTTTATTGGGTATATATTCAATTATTATTTAATTTACTTTACCTTTTTTTATCTTTATTTTATTTGGTAAGAACTTATTTACATATTATAATATTTATTCATTTTTTTAGATGTTTTGATTGTTAACCAAACTGGCGAAACACTTCAGAATCTATCCATAGAATTTGCGACTCTAGGAGATTTGAAACTTGTCGAAAGACCAACACAACATAATTTGGCACCACGCAGTTTTCATAGTGTTAAGGCTACCATAAAGGTCTCCTCCACTGAAACGGGAGTTATCTTTGGTAACATTGTTTATGATGGACCTGGTACCTCGGAGAGTAATTGTGTAGTGCTTAACGATATTCACATTGATATTATGGATTATATTAATCCCGCATATTGTAATGAAACACAGGTAGATAATATTATCTCTTTTCTTTTTCGATATTTTTTTTTATTGCATTAAACACTTATTCATTAATTAATTAACACTTAATTTATTTATAAATTAGTTCCGCAACATGTGGACAGAATTTGAATGGGAGAATAAAGTCAACGTTAATACCAACATAACGTACGTTTAAAAATGTTTTATATTTGTTTGATATATTTTGATAATTCGAATAATCAAATTAACAAAATATTCTTTCATAATTCTAATAATTCTAGTGATTTACGATTTTATTTAACTCACATAATGAAATCCACAAATATGAGTTGTTTAACTCCAGAAAATGCATTGTCAGGAAACTGTGGATTTTTATCTGCCAATATGTATGCTCGTAGCATATTTGGTATGTGGTACTAATTAATGTTGTATGTTATGTGTTATATATTTTATAACTATTATAATTTGTTATTATTTTTTTTTTAATCTTATATAGGAGAAGATGCTTTAGCTAATCTAAGTATAGAAAAACAAACTGATGGTGCAATTACTGGACATGTGAGAATTAGAAGTAAGACACAAGGAATAGCATTAAGTCTTGGAGATAAAATTACATTGGGTAAGTTATCGTTTAAATTATTACATTTCATTCATTTATTAATTACATTTGTTTCACTTATTGATCATTATATTATATTATTTTATTTTATTTTATTTTATTTTATAAAGCACAAAAAACTGTAGTTTAATTTATTACTGTAGCAAGTTTCTTAAATGGTTATAAGTTATAATTTTCATTTTTTTTAAAAAAAAAATTTTTTTATAGATTAATAATTTTATAAATAAAAACTAGTGTATATTAGATATTTATTATAATGTAGTTGTGAGATAATAATAGTAGAATAAATTAATTATACAAAAATTCAATTTTACGATAACTTTATTTTTACAACTATAATAAAACAGAGGCAAGATCTATTTTAACTAAATAAAATTATTTATAATTTACAAATGAATTTTAATACTTCTCGAAGTACCAAATATTATTACCAATAATTAACAGGTGATTACCAGTTATTACTATTACTAAATGCCAGACTTATGATTATCAGGTAAAAAAATATGAAAAATATGTGGGAAAAAAGTCGCTCGTCAAAAAATAAAGAATAGATTCGATGATGATTGATTGTGAAAGAGAAGAAGAGGTCATCTTCTCTGAAATGCATTAATCGTTTCAGCGTTTTCAGTAGCACCGTAGTCCTTTAACAATTTTTTCATTTCCCAGAAACCCTTTTTAACCGCAGTTGCCAAAAATGAATCTTCTGCCCTAGCCCCATTATCTAATAATAACTTGGCCATTTCTAAATTATTACGCGCAACACAAAGTTTTAAAGCAAGGTTTTCTGCTGCATCGATTTTGGCTTTATATTGAATTAAAAGTTTTGCCATTTTAATATTTCCCCTTTGTACAGATTTTGCAATAGGATATCCTTGTGGTTCATTGGGTGAGGCACCACGATCAAGTAGAATTTTCGTTAATTCTATAAGACGACCATCCGGGTCCGGAGAAGAAAAGAACCTTTGAGGAATAATCCTGTTTTCATAAGGAATTATCTTCTCAGGTTGGGGAATAACCTTGGTTATATAAGAACCTACCATCTTCTCATATATTTTTAAATTTTGTTGATAATAAATATTATCTAATTGGTTGAGTATTTCTTTATTAAAAAATCGCCATTTTAAACCTCCCTGTAAAGCGCTCTTGCACTTTCCTTGAAAATAGTGCAAGAGCCATTGAGTCTTCACGCTTGCTTGAGAATTTGCAGCTTTGTGGAAATTCCGAGATACAAGAGGAAAAGATGGGTTGGACGATAAGATAAAAATATGTTGTAAAACTTCCAAAGGAAGTCGCTGTATATTCAAGTCATATTGTGACATCTCTTAAGAGTATAAAGTAAAATGATAAATGAGTCACTAAAATTTACAAAAAAAGAGATTTGAATATAGAGAATATTTATTTATGGAAATTTAATGCGCAAGGAATCTGGTTTACTTGATAAGGGAAAGCAGCATAGGGAAAGTCTAGATTTTGATCATCGGGTTACACAAATATTTATATTAGTTTTACAATAGCGTTCAATTGAA